TATATATATACAGTTATTTAGAATACGGCAAACATTTATGTAGTTCTTCTATGAGAAATTTATTTAAAATTATCAAAACATTATCAAAAATCAAAATTATCAAAAGTATGTCCTTGAAAATAGCAATGCATATTTGAATTACATAATTAATAAAATGCAATAGGGGTATGATAAAATGTAATAGGAACATAATAAAATGCAATAGGGGTATGATAAAATGTAATAGGAACATAATAAAATGTAATAAGAGTATAATCTGGAAAAATATAGTTAAAACAAGGATAATTTTAAGTAACAATGCATTCTCTATTTTATAAGGGTTATGGGTATGTGTTGGCAATTGCTTTTCCAAACTGCTTCCAATCCAATAATTGGTCACTAAACAATTAGTGCAGATTTTTATGTCTCGATGTATGATCGAAGAATCCAATATAAAGCAATAACTATATCGTAATATTTTTCCTGTTTCATTAATTTATATTATTTTTATATAGATCAACATTTTGGTTACTGAACTAAAATTTATCATTATTCACAATAATATCGTATTCAACTACACTCAAGACCAGATTTTTTGTTGCGGTTTTATAAATGCTTGATTTTACCAAATTTGGGGGTGGGGGTTTCATATCTGGAATAAGCTTTGATCATGAAGTTAAAGATAGTTTTTTAACTGACAAATGACAGTTTTAGCTTATTTTTTATTGAAATCTACAAATTTAAAAGCGTTCTATATAACAGAGAGAGACGCAAATTCTGTGAGAAATTTTAAGGGATTTTAGTGTACATTCTTCGTGTACTTCAGAACAGATGACAATAAGGAAACTCTCCTAGCCGCGTATGACGACATTTCCGGGCATAGATTTCTACTAAAGTTTTACTCAGACGAAACTTCCCTAGTAGTTTGTCAATTCCTTTCGTTCAAATAGTTTTTAAACTTGTACATTTTGTCATGAAATAGACTAAAAATGCCATAAAAAACCAAGAAAAGCTTTATCTTAAATAATTATATCATTTGCAAATTTAAAATAAGTAATACTAAAGTATCTAAGTTTTTTAAAAAATTTCATGCAGCAGAAAGTTGCAAAAAAATTATAAAATTGATAAATAAATGAAATGATGTTCCTTGACGTTAATATCGTTATGTTTACGATATAAACTTTTTGAAATATTATAGATATTGGAAGCAAAAGTATCAAAATCGATACAAATACCTATAAATGATCACAATTTTTTCATATTCTATTACCATTGATATCGTTATTAATCGTGGTGATTTCATATTTAATACGCCTATCATATTTTATGATTGTGTTAAGCGGTGTTCCGTGCGGACCAAAATCTGGCATCATGCCTACGAGTCAACGAACTTCGCTCCATGCTCCCTATAAAGGATAAGTTCCTTTATACCTCATTTAAGTTTTTAATTTAATTTCTTCAAGATCAGAATTGAAATGTTATCATATATAATCAAATGTTTTTATATTCATAGAGTCAATTAAATGAAACTTAATTTTCTTTTCTTTCTTATCATTTAGATAGCATGGCTTCGTGTTGAAACTAAAACAATTCTAACTATTCATCGTCATGTCATTTCACGAAATTACCGAATCACACTAAGCCACAGTGACAACAGAAATTGGGTTCTCCACATAAACAAAGTTCAGGAGGAAGATCGTGGAGGATATATGTGCCAAGTAAATACAGTCCCCATGTTAAGCCAAATAGGATATCTTGATGTAGTAGGTAAGTTAATATGGAATTTCTCCAAGTGTATGCAATAGTTAAACGTTACCTTTTTAATGTCTCAGTCAATGAGCTTATTGCCATTGCTAATGTTTTAGTGAAATTTAGTACAATATTCAGTGCTTATTTAAATGCGTTTTAATATAGTTTAAGCGTCCTTTGAAAATAACTAAACTTTTATTTTAAATGCAGCAGTTAATCAGCTGCCAGATATTGCTGCATTTTTGTAACTGCAACCAGTTATTATTATGCATGTTCTTTGATATTGTATTTTTGAGTTGTTATTTTCTGATAAGTAAAATCTCACCACCGCCGATGTACAATGAAAAAATTTCGAAGCATATTACAGTATGAGGTATTCATTTTTACTGCAAAATATTATAACGAGGATTTTACTTTAATATTTATTTAAATAGAGTGATTCAGAGTTTACTGCAATAATTACTTTAAAAAGTTACGGTTTAGCAGATTTTTTCTTTCTCAACATGTTCCGCTAAAAATGGATTTTATGGGAAAAAGTTTCGGCACCGGGTGCCGGTACTTTTTTCCGCCATTTGATCAACCATATTTCACAGTGAAGAGCTGCGTGTTAATTTCAAAAGTTACTAACTACAGAGTGTTACTATCTACAATGTAGTTTCAATTTCTTTTTTACTGCCATATTTTTTTATTATCTCATACAGCCACTAATAGTTATACTTATAAGAACTTTTTTGTCATCTTTTTCGCTTTGCTAATAAATTTAGCTGTCGAAAACACAAGTTTAATGCTGAAGTTTCATACAAATCTTAACTATCTCACTTTACTTAAAATTTAACCTTTACTATAGGATTAAGGTGAACTTCATCCAATTGTTTGAGAATAGAGAAAAATGTGATTTTTAAGAGAATTTGCTATGATTTGAAAGACGGGTTACGGGTTACGCCTTTTTTTTTTTGAAAAAAAAACTAAACTCCAGTTTCCTTTAGGATCAATTATTCATTGTTTCTCACTATGTAGAGAAATCTAATAATGGTGTTTTAATTTCCCACTGTTTTTGGCTAATTTTTATTGACCGATAAAACACATGATAGGAACTTCTTTCATGCAAAATATTTTTGTAATAAAATTTAAAAGCATTTAGGAGTAATATTTACTTTGTTTTATAATGCAATGACATTAATAAATTTTTTATTTTGATATTTCTACTCTTCAGAAATTAATCAAAATTACTACAAGAATTATAGAAAAAGGGTAATTAAATTAGTAAAAGTAATTAATTAGGATTTAAAGCTAAAAAAGTTGCTTTTTTATTATAACAGAATTTTATGATATTTACCTTATTACGCTGGGCGTTAAGTTAAACCTATTTACATCAATGTCAAACTTATTAACCGTTTAACATTATTTTATTTTGGGAATTACATTAATATGCTATTATAAATTGCAGATGAAGTGATTCATCAAATGGTTAATAACTTAATGATCAAATTGCACAAATGCATGCAAAAATTATATTTAAAACATCAGCCTCCTTGGTTAAAAAAACATATTAAATTACAATTGTGGAGTTACTAAACTTGTTTTAGGAGTATACCTTTAATTTCAAATGTCATTAGAAAAATCGATTACATAGCAAAATAATTTATAATTTATGTTTATTTATTGATCTTAATAGAGTCATAAAGAAATGTTAGGCACGTGAAATAGGGGTACACGTTTAAGCAAACAAAATTCTTTTTAGTGCTCATAATTTCAACTTTCGTAGAAAAAACCTGTTTTATGCAAAAAATTAGCAATGATTGCAAATGCATCATCGTCTTCGTGAGCTGCAGCAAACAGTATGACCCTAATAACTTATATAATTATGGCGTGCACACTAATTATGATATATATTGTTTATCGAAAGAACAAAACGAAGAACAAATTTAGAGCTTTATCACTCATATAATGAACCTGACATTATTGACTTTATTCAACAACAAAGAATAAAGTGCCCAGGCCACATTATCAAAATGGATGAAAACCATACCACAAAAAGCGATTTCATGCCAGACCAGTTGGCACATGAAGAAAACGGCCGGCCGGATTTGATATGAATAGATGGCCTGGAAAAAGACCTTATGGTCTTAACTAAAAACTGGAAAACACTAGTAGGAAAAAGGTTGGCCTGGAAACAACTTTCCTGCGCTGTCTAGCCATTGATGATGATGATTGTTAATCAAGCAAATAATTAACGAAGTGTATATTTCTACCTTTTTCAAAACACTTAAAATTAAAGAAAAAATAACCAAGGTACATTTTTTTTAAAAAATTCACTTTACAGAGACAATCTTGTGTAACATGGATTATTTCATTAAATACAGAAAATCAATTTTTATAAAAAGTTTCATATCTATTATTTGCAGTTTTCTGATCCATTTAATTAGTCAAAAATATGTTAAATCTAGTACTTCACTAAATTTTTGAAAGCGTACTGTTCTTGCATAATTTTAAGGACATTATGCTGATGTTAATTGATTTGCATAAATATGAAAATTAGTCATTGATGTAGAAAAAAGAAGTGAATACCAATATAAACATTGGAGAAGCAAGGGGATTAAAGAATATTTAATAAATCAATATATTTTTTTAAACTTACTTAAAATTATGGAGAAATATCCCTCTTATTTATTATAAAGTTTCAATTCTGATTTTATAATTCTAGGAAAAAAAGAAACTAAGAACTAATTGAGCTCATTTTCTTAACTTCATAAATAATTAATCATATTTTTATGCTTTTCTCTTGATGTAGCTTCAAACAGAATCATTGCCATCCATCATAGTTGTTCAAAAATCTTTGATGAAATTATGTATTTGAATGGCTTTCTGAAATTGTGTCAGTAGACGGTTATAATTAACCGATCGATAGAGTTGCGAGAAAATGTCACCAGATGCATTTGACAGCTTTTATCGTAAATGAACACTGTGCGGTAGTGATAAGAGCAATTTGAACTTATGAAATGTGTTTCTCCCATCTAATTTAAACTGATATATTCTTTTTACAAGTGAATTGTGAGGAGAATAATTATATCAACGAATATCTCTTAAGGAGACATTAAAATTCAAGGCTGACTGATAAATTTTAAAAACTTAGAATGTTTCTACCACGATGAGATTGTAAAATATTTTATTTAATAACACATGCCACACTGCTATTTAATGATATATGTGAATAGAGATATGTACACAGAAGCAAGCAACATATTTTGATTAAATATTCACTGAATAGTTTCAAATAAAACTGTGTCCATTTATTTATGTATCAAATGTTGGTCTTAAAAATGTGAAAAAAAATATTTTTAGCACGTTGCCAGATACGAAAATTTGAGCTATTGAAATTTGTTTTGCTCTTCTAATTTTAAGTTTAACATTTATTTTCAAAATAAAAAAAAAATTATGAATATTTTTTTTCATAATTTCCTGATTGTTAAATTTTAGAAGCTTAGAATGCTTAGATTGTAAAATATTTTATTTAGTAACAAATATTACCCTACCGTTTAATAATATCTATATACATATGTGTAGTGAAACAAGAAAAACAATTCATTTAAATTAAATCTTTACATATTCGTCTCATGTAAAACTGCTTTAGTTTATTTATCTATCTGATGTGGGTTGTAAATTTATTTTAGCAAGTTCACAAATATAAAAATTTGGAATCATGAAAGTTGCTTCTCTCTTCTAATTTTAAGTAAAGCATTCTTTTATGATTAAAATAAATATATGAATATTTAGTTTTCATAATAAAGCAGTAATAGTAATATGTGTATACATATGCGCACCGAAACAACTGAAATACTTTATTTCGATTAAATTTCCAAGTATTCGCTTCTTGGATATTTAACTTTTTTAATTTATCTATGCGTCAAATGCTGGTCGTGAAAACGTGTAAAAAATATTTTTCACACATTCCTAGATACGAAAACTCAAACTTGTGAAATATGCTTCTCTGTTCTAATTTTAATTTATATTTTTTTTAATAATTGAAAAATAGTTATGAATATTTATTTTTCCTAATTTCCTTAAAATAGTAATTATGCCGACGAATATCATTTAACTACATCAGGACTTTGATCACATACGAGATAACAGCCCACGGTATCATATACGGAAGTTTTAGCTTTACCCAAGATCTCACAAACATAATAATAATATGGAAGTATATGGAATATATGGAAGTTTTAGCTTTATCCAAGATCTCACAAACATAATAATAATATGGTACTCTTTTATTACATATTGTATTAGTATGTATGAGCAAGCTTTAAATCGTGTAAACTGAAAGCATGCGGTACTGACGAGGGACAACTTTCTTCTTAATAAAATATTTAAAAGAATTATTTGATAATTTTTGCTGTTCGTAAGGTAACGGTTTATCAGAAATTCTACTTTTCAAAATTTCAGTTTTTAACACTCATTTATGAAAAAATACAAACTGAGAACTAAAATTTAATCGAATAAACGGTTTTTATGTCATGCTCTAGGATAGCATGACCATTTACTAATTTTGTACCAAATTTCTTAAATTTTATCACATACTATAAAATATTATTTTATTGTTAATTTTAGCGAAATTATTACAAAAGCTCTTCGGGAAAAAATAATGTGCTTTTGAGCTTTCCTCCAGAGCAGAAAGACGGTAAATGTCATCATATTGCGGTAATTTCGAACTTTTTTTTCTTATTGAGGGTGAAGAAAATATTCTTAAGAAAAATTATCTTAAAAGATTAATAGAAATTTCAGTTCTGAAGTATTTTTAAACTTAAAATGAGCATTTTTACAGAGATAGGCATTTAAATTTTTATTTCGCATAAATTTCCAATACTTTCAGAAACAAGATGCGTTTAAGACATGCCATTTAAAGTGAAACTGAGTTTTAAAATTAAATTGCTTCTGTTGAATTACATTTTTAAATATTAGAACAAAATTCATAAAAAATTGTGTGTATGGAAAATGGAACAAACACTAGAACATTGATA